GTAAAGTAAACAGAGGGGGGGGGGGGGGGGGGGGTGGTCCTCAGGTGCAATAGACACCTCCTATCTGGCAGTATCATCCTCAGGCCACAACTGTGGGGTTAAAACCATCCTTATTCACTTGACCCTTAGATTTCAAATTAGGATGAAATTTGTGGCATTTAGCAAGGATATGACCAAACATCTTACAGTGGGTACAATATGGGGGTTTGTGTTCCATGACGATTTGTTCCCAATAACCATTATGGGTTGTGCCAGCCCGACTTTAGAAGCATCTGGTAATTTAGTAGCATCTGGTAAAGTAATATACATTTCCACAAGTAGTCTGGTCAGGTTGAAAGTAGGCAGATCTAGTTTCAAAGGATCTTCAAGGATGACCCTAATAGAGTAGAGAACCTGATGGTGAAAAAAATGCAGCTTGAGACCATGTAAACTAAACTATACCGGTACAATGAGAGTTTCATGATTTGGGTCGAAGTTGAGAGACCACTTGAGTAACTTCATTGATTTGTCTTCTATATTAAGATATTTCTTGGAGAAAATTCTGGTGTAGTATTCAACCACTGTTAGTTGGATCAACACATGTCTCCTATCCATGAGTCTCACTTTCCACATGTCTACTAGCTTAAGATCATCAACACTTTTTCTGATAAACTCCATAGGAGGGTGTCCCCACTGAAATTTTTCAATAAGAGCAAACTTGAATTTTTCCGTAAGGGTAGAAATAAGGGTAGAAATTTCTTAGAAATTTTTTATTCAGAGAAAAAGATTTTTTTTCTTCCATCTTTCCTACTTCCCTTCTTAATAAAAGGATAATCATCTGAACCCTCACGAGATTCCTTATAACTTGAGGGGAATCCCACTGCGGACTAAATTCCACTGCGGACTCCACTTGAGGGTTACCCACCACGTGAGCAAAGGAAACTTTGTCTGGCTCAACCAAAAAAGAAGAAGGCGCTATCAGAGCAAGGAGAGCCGTCAACGTTAAGCTACAACGAGCAAAGTTGTTGCAGCAGGAAAAATAGTGAAGACTGGGCTGACGAGCGGCTCTGTCGCAGACGCCAGAAGCAGAGACAAGCAGATGGCGAGCAGCTCTGTCGCTCGCTGGAGTCGTCGAGCAGACGTGAACGCGTCGTCATCGAGACGCAGACAGGCCGGGCGCGAGCCGATAAAGCAGAGAGGAGGAGGAAGCTTCGAGCGCGAGCCAACGAAGATGGGCACGAACCGACGAAGCAGTAGAAAGGAAGCTTCGAGCGCGAACCGACGAAGCAGAAAGGAGGAAGCTTCGAGCGACAGATTGCGACAAAATCAATGGCCATTCGAAGCATTCGAAACCCTAGCAGAACAGTCGTCTGCCATGATATGTGTGTGTGTGTGAGTGTGTGTGTGTGTGTGTGTGTGTGTGTGTGTGTGTGTGTATATATATATATATATATATATATACACATTTATTTATTTATAGACACACTCACAAAAACAAAAAAGTACCTGCATTAATCTCTATTAGATCTAACTACACAAACAAGACAAGTCGTGTTAAAGGAGGACCCACCAAAAGGAGGCTCGGGGGCCCATGTGTTTGATCGGAAGCATTATGATCGTGATTAAACAAAATAGTCAAGTGACACCAACCGAGCCAGCTAAGACTTAAATCCACCAAGCTCTAGGCACACGTATGTAAAATATCTGTAATAACATGCACCCCTTCTAATTAAGGATGGACACATGTAAATTCACATATGATACCTCATTTCTCTATAAATAGGAGATCATTTCATGAATGAAGGGTTACACATTTCCTCTAATTTATTATGCACTTCTTTCTCTCTCACACTTTTTCTTATGTCTTACACTTTATTCTTTAGGTGTGATTTACATACAAATCAGGATCCAACGTCCTAAACGGTGCAGTAAGCATGAAATACACTATTTTAGACTATCCCTAGATGTTAACATTTTGTGTATACTAATAACACACATGTTAGTTGAAAATAAATTGAGGAACCTAAATATGTTATATTTTATTGCTCAGAATAAAAATAAGTTGACGTGCCAACAAAATGATAAGAACCAAAGACCTCTTAAAGAAACATCAAACTTTGAGAGAGGTGACCTCACCATGTAGTCTTAATTATAGGACCATGCATTCTAGCCATTAAAATAAATTGATTAGATGATTTTATTAAATCAATTTGATTTTGGTTCTAGAATCCCAAATTTTCAAATGATTATATTTTACTAAAAATTAAATTGTAACATACTTTTGCTTATTTAGTTCATTTTGGTTGACTAAATACTTAGCTTAAATATATCGATTTTTATGGAAACATCCATGATTCATCAACATTATCAAACAAGCAAGAGATTTTATTTTATGAATATATGAAATAATAATATATAGATAATTGATTAAATCTAAATAAGCATGCAACTAATGCAAATCCACACAAATAATTCACAATGCAATTATGTTGATGGAAATAATAGATATTCTAACTTGTGATCATTCATTGGTGGGCACTGTTTGCAATTTTAGTTGAATGTTAACAAATCCACAGGTACTTTATATGTTAAACATAAGTTGCAACAGATCAGCTTTTCAAATCCACGGGTTTTGTGATTATTCATTGGTGAGCACAGTTTATTCATTAGTGAGCACAGTTTACAATTGTAACCTATTGACGAGTCTGGAGGATTAACTTCGTGAGGGCAATGACAAGATTTGCACAAGGCTAACATAAGACAACCCATCAGAGGTGACGACTAACAACGAAGGGTCGAAAGAAAAGAATGGGTGAGACAATAATTGGGTATGTCCCCCTCATACTCTTCCAAACCAACATGGTGGAATGACACTAGAAATTAATCATACAATATATAGAAAAAGCTCGACAAAATTTACACTAAGATGAATTCAAAAAACTCATTTTTGTTATAAGATAGATTACACGTTATTCTGTTTGTTTTAATCGAGCCGAAATTGAATTGGTCATCACATTCATTGGTTCATTTACAATCTACTCTTTTGCATGTTGGTCTTAAATTATTGGTTAGACTATATGTTATTTTGGGCCTTTTAAACCACTGCACTCATAAGAAAACACATATGTGTTAGGTTTGCCGTACCTGCCTCTCACTAGGTTAAACTGGTGTACATTAGGTTATTTGCCGGTCAATCTATCCCCAAATCAACCAACTTAAAGCCAGTACAGCCGGTCACCTTGGAAACTATTGACCGGCATTTCCCAGTAACCAGCCGTTGGGATTCAAATTTATGAGGCGGACAGACCACGGCCCCCTTAGTAAAAACGGACGGCCGAGATCTCCTCTTCAACACTGGCCGTCCATCCTCCGTCCGATCTCAGAGCCGCCGCACGACATTTAAAGACTGGAGTTGGGAGTTCTCGACCTCGCCCTTCTAAGACTTGAACTATGAGAGAGATGCTGTGCAATAAATCTAATCGAAACCCCCCCCTTCTCTTCTCTCTTCCTTCTCTCTCTCTCTCTCCCTCTCTGTCACCGATTTGAAACTTTTCCTGAGAGCAAGCGATCTTGGTCTCTCACGTCAGTTTATCTGATCGCCCAGATCTCCCTGGTCGGAAAGGTGAGACCTTTCCTGATCTGCGATCTTGATGTCGAATCGAACATAGGGATTTTGCTTACTGGGATTCGAATTGAGCTTTTTCTCGTGACGGCTACTGATCTTTTTTGTATTTTTGAGCATTTCTTCTCTCTTTGATTACTTAATTTTTCGTCGGCTTCTCGTTTAGGATTTGATATTGGGGTTCTTGGAGTAACGTTATAGCTCTCCATTGTGGCCTTTTCTATATGATGCGTCGGAATCACAAGCGTGGGGAGATCTGGTCCACAGCTTATCTTCACCGATCAGTGATTGATGGGAAGTGTGAAGAGAAAGAGTGCAGCGAGAGCCGAAACTGGCCCTTCTGCCACCGTCCAAGATGGTAGAGTTGGGAGTTCTTCCGCAGCGACTCCAGATGGAATGGGTGAAGCTTCAAGTTCTACCTCACTCTTAGATGGGAGTGATTGTGACTTTCTAAGGCAACAACAGGCTCTGCATGGGTATGGTTATCATTCTTTAATCCAAAGAGACAGCTTTGTTTGGATTGTCATAATTCTTCTTTCAGTTTCTTTCTTGGAGGTTTTCAATGCTGATATTAGGATCTGATGATTGTGTAGAAGGATAACTGGCCCAAAAAGGAGATCAACTAAAGGGCAGTGGACTCCTGAAGAGGTGATTTTGTAAATAGGAAAAGAATGCCAGTACTTTGGGCTGGTTTCTTTTTCTTTTCCATTTGGTAGATTGTTGAAGTTAACCATGAAATTGACTGGATACATGCTAGTGTTGGCTTAATGTAAATAGATAAAATAATTTTGAAGGTTATGCTTGGGAATTTATATATGTTAGGTTTTATATATTGTGGGAGGCTTCATGAATGATACTATCAGAGCCCAAGACTGAGCTTTTTTGTCATCTCACATGGACCGAACTTAAATAATAACAAAATTACTTGTTAGCCATCAGTTTTTTATATTGATATTTCATGTTTCATATTTTATCCCAGAAGTGTAGGCTCTTCAGCAGTTCACATCTATACTAAAGAAAGATTACATTTGAAGAAAAGAAAATTACACACACACACACACACTCACACACAAACAAGTATATTAATTTTTTTAATTGGCTTTTCTATTATTCTAGATCTTTTTGTTACTATTTTTGCATTACTTACGAAGTTATTATAAGTTTAAATTGCTATTAACTTATTCTTAGTAGCTTGACAGCAAATGGTGCTATAATTTTGTTACTCGCCCTTAGATGTGTTTGTCTTGCTAACTCGCATGGCTATCATTTTTTTTGTTTTCAGGATGAAATTCTATGCAATGCTGTGCATCATTTTCATGGAAAAAATTGGAAAAAGATAGGTAGGTTTACAAGCAATACGAATTACTCTACTAAATTTGCCACAACTGCTGAACAAGTTAGATACTTATAAGTGTTTTCTTTCATTCTTTATTTTATGATTGTAAGTTTATGTTCATTTACTTGAATGTATTTTGTGCCACTATGGTAGTTATACATAATACACCGCAAGTTTTATTTATTCACTCATGAAATTTTTCTATTTGATGCATGGATCATATATCAGTTTTTCTTCTTGCGATATTTCCCTAGTTGAATGCCATGATTTTGCATTCGTATTTCTTTGCTTATCTTTCTTGCATTATGTAATTACCTAGATTTGAAATTTCTTTCTGTATGATTGCTATATTCATCCATGTTTTTGTTTAGGGACATATAATCTGTAGGAAAAAAATTATACAAATTTCTAAGCATGTTTAAATTGTTGCGGCAATAATTGTTATTTCCATAATCTGATCTCATTTTTACCTTTCATATCTTTCTTTAATCATCCAACAAAGCAAGGGTTCACACTAATAATTGCTTATGAATAAAAAGGCAGTGGGAAAAGATGTACTGTGAAGCATGAACATGACACAGCAGTGCTATTTTAATAAATAAAACGTGGAAAAAATATCAGGCACTATACATATGTGCCCGAAACATGTTTAAACCATGCTAAAAAAAATGTCAAATTTGCATTGTAAACTTGTAGAAGATCAAAGAAAAAAATCGAAGACATGCCAAGTTTATATCTTTTACCATATTTGATAAACGGTGATGGTGTTAGACAAGCTTAGAGTTAATGTCATTTTTTAGTTTGTTATTTAGGATCTTACTTTATAAATAGGAATCATTGGGTTGAAATTATGCATTTTGAATTATTTTTAAAACTTCATCTATCATTAGATGTGGTCCTTGGATTAGATGTGAAACCTAAAAATCTTCCATGTAGCTGATCTATTTATTCAAAAAATGAGCCTTGCTCCATTTCTCGTTATTTTGATCAATCTTTTCTTTTGTTTTCCCATCTTAAGTTTAGTTGTCCTTTGTTTTTAAATTATCTTAAATGCATGATTGCTACCTTGAAATCAAATTCAATAAAGTTTATTTCATTTTATTTCCCTTCATTAAAATATAAAATATTTATTGTCAACATTATTAAGTTTATCTTTACTATTTAGGGTTGGCTTTTTGACACTCATTATTAATCCTTAACATTATTAAGTTTATCTCTACTATTTGAAGTTGATTTCTTTAATGCTTATTGTTCATTTTTTCTTTTGAGTGCTATATGAAAGGTTAGTTTTTTTTTTTTTTAACAATCTTTTTAAACAACAAATATCCATGTTGCATTAGATATAGCTCCCTTTTCATTCCTTACCTTTGATGCTAATTTTATCTACCTTCTTGTTGTATATTGTAGGCTATTTGTTTATTTTCATCCACTTTATCTATAATATATGCTACATACAATTGCTTTAATATACTCGTGTTTTTAAAAGTACTAAATTTGATGAAATGCACACAAGTTTTTTCTTCAATATATAAAGCACAAAGTGAACCGAGACTTTTATTAGCTAAATCATTCATGACTTGTATATCATGTAGGCATATGTTATTTGCATCTAATAACCATTTAAATAGTCAAACATAATCCAAATCAAATAAGAATTTTCAATAAATAAATGGATTATTACAATAACAATTATTGAATCTCTAATTTAAAGTTAAATCTTAAGAAAATAAAAATTCAAATAAAGACGTTGTTAGGGTTTTTGTTGAGAGGAAGATTACTATATCATAAGAAAGACTAGAAAGAAAAATGGTCAATAGAGGAAATATTGTGTGTTTGCGTCTTGGTTGAGAGGGATGAACTAGAGATGTTGAGGAGCCGCTCCACTGTGCGTCAGACTTGTCTATTGAGACGTCATATTGTGGTTGAACCAAGAATGTTACGTATTGATATTGAATAAAGTGAGAGGCTATTTTTTCTACCTGCTTGTTGTATATTGTAGGCTATTTGTTTATTTTCATTTACTTTATCTTCAATATATGATAAATATAATTGCTTTAATATACTCGTGTTCTTAAAAGTATTAAATTTAATGCAATGCACACACATTTTTTCTTCAATATATAAAGCACAAAGTGAACTGACACTTTTATTAGCTAAATCAATCATGACTTGTATATCATGCAGGCACATGTTATTTGCATCTAATAACCATTTAAATAGTCAAACATAATCCAAATCAAATAATAATTTTCAATAAATAAATGGATTATTACAATAACAATTATTGAATCTATAATTTAAAGTTAACTCTTAAGAAAATAAAAAATTCAAATAAAGACGTTATTAGGGTTTTTGTTGAGAGGAAGATTACTGTATCATAAGAAAGACTAGAAAGAAAAATGGTCAATAGAGGAAATATTGTTTGTTTGCGTCTTGGTTGAGAGGGATGGACTAGAGATGTTGAGGAGCCGCTCCATTATGCATCAGACTTGTCTATTGAGATGTCGTATTGTGGTTGAACCAAGGATGTTATGTATTGATATTGAATAAAGTGAGATCTAGAGTTGAAGTAAGGATAGCCTGAGATTACAATGCTTTTTTGTATTGAAAATTTTAGGCAAAGAAGCTTTGTCCATATCCTAACGTCATGGTATCTTTAATAGAACGTGCGAAAGTATGACTCGGATGTAAGCTTGCAGTAGTTAATTTTGGACTAGAAGAAACACTAAATAAACTAGACGTGCATTTAGTGCATCTTGTAACATTGCAAATAACACTATGAAATGTGCGCTCATTGGTTGTGCTTTTGCATATCATTACAATTCAAAGTGAATCAACCTACACACAATGCTTCAGTTCAAAGGAGTGCTTCCAAGCATGCTTTTAGCGATCTTGATAGATCAATTAGTTTATTCATCTTCTCTAGTTTTATTATAAATACATCTTAGTATTCTCATTTTTATTATGTTTTATCTAGCTATCTACATGCTTTGTTAAACTTTCTGACATCTATGATTACTTTTTTATTAAATCTATATTTTAATCTCTATCATATCCTCTTATCCTATATATGCCAAAAGGCAATTTTTTTTTAACTACTGAGCCTTAATCTATAAATTATATACTTATATATATATATTTTTATTATTTTGTTTATCATACCAAGCTTATTTAAACATAAAAATATATTTTTATTCTTTTGTTTATCATACCAAGCTTATTTAAACATAAAAGGCTTGAGTAAACTTAATCATAAAAAATTAAAATATTAGTTAATAATTATTGTTATCTCACATCTACAAAACCTTGTGCTTGGTCTTATTTTTACTAATTCTAGGCATGATATTCTAAATATTTTTTCCCTTATTTTATCTCTGCACTTATTTTAGTGTATGTCGCACTCATTAAAATATGTCATCTATAAGAATGTATAATAAGCATTTCCCTTTGGATATCCTTTGTGGGCATCCCATAACTAATAACAAAAATTATGATGGCATAATTGATAAAATTAAAGTTAAATTATTAAAGCCAAGCCATTTAAAATCTAAGCATATTAAAGTAATTTATCCATCAAAATTTTATTTGAAACTAGCTATTACAAAAATTAATTAAAAAAGATGTATAAATTCTTAAATCAAATAAATGGCTTTATAATTCTGATTTATCTTAGATAATGTTATTGCTCAGTCCCAATCCCCTGATATGAAAAGTAGAGAGTCGTGTTAGATAATCGACAACCAACGTAATTTTTTTGTTGAAAAATTATGACATGAATCATTTAAATTATCATGTAAATGCTATAATGTTCCCTGAAAGCAACATTCTTTATAGCCCGAATACAGTGAAAAGTGTGCAAGAGCCGCTACACCGATGCTTGGGTGTAGTTCAAATAAGCAAGGGTTCTCACATTATAGGTGGATGTTGGCAAATAAGTTAATCTATGAAACTAATTTTAGGATAATATTTTATAATATAGGCACTCTCATAGGTAAATTAATGGAATTAGTAGATATTATGATTTATATGAAGAGAAATTTCTTATGCATTCAAAAAACACTAAATGTGTTATAAAAAATATTTAGAATATTGATAGCTTAGGTTTTAAACTTTGGTATTCAAGTAAGAGTTGCATTGAAAATGATGTATGCATAATTATAAATGTGTTTGAAAGATAATGTTGTAAAAATTAATAGATTGAAGATAGAATTAGAGTCCTAAAGATTATTGTTGATACTAAAATTTTTAATTTTATATGTGTTTATGCTCCTCAAGTAGGTTTAGATATAGGTTCAATAAAAATTGGAATGACCTAGAAGAATTAATGCAAATGAAGAATTTTATTTGAGGAGATTCAAATACATATATTAGTAGTGGTAGAATATTTTAGTAATATTCATGGTGACTACAAAGAATGTAGAACCATATTAGATGTTATTTTAGTTTATGATTTTTCTTATTGCTAATATTTTTATTTAAGAAAAAATATGAGCATATTATTACTTATAAGAATTGATCTAATAAGACGCAAATTGATTATTTTCTTATAAGAAAAAGAGATCGTCAAGAATGTAAAAGATTTTGAAGTCTTTCTAAGTGAAAATTTAATTACCAAAATCGATTATTAGTTCTAGATTTTAAGACGATAAATTATAATCTTAAAAATACAATGAAACATTATAATGTACTTGGGAAATTCAAAAGAAAAGGTTTTATAAATAAAAATATTTGATGGTGGAATAATAAGACGCAAATTGATTATTTTCTTATAAGAAAAAGAGATCGTCAAGAATGTAAAAGATTTTGAAGTCTTTCTAAGTGAAAATTTAATTACCAAAATCGATTATTAGTTCTAGATTTTAAGACGATAAATTATAATCTTAAAAATACAATGAAACATTATAATGTACTTGGGAAATTCAAAAGAAAAGGTTTTATAAATAAAAATATTTGATGGTGGAATAATAATATTCAAGAGTATAAGAACTTGTGTCATAAAAATTAATTTAAATGTAAAAACGTAGAGAACTGAAACATTATAAAGTAGCTCATAGGGAGTCTAAGAGAATTATTTGTATCATTAAGAATTATGTTTTTTTTAATAGATTATATACTAAAGGTGATGAAAAAAGTATATATAAACCTGCCAAACGAAGAGAAAAAAAAGGTAAAGATTTATAATTTAAGTAAAATATACTAAAGATGAAAATAAAAAAAGTTTTTTTTAGAGAAAGATATTCAACATAAGGAGATATTTCGATAAATTTTTCAATGAAGTTTCTGAAAATACGATTGACCGTAGTGATCTTAGTATTATTAAAAATAATAAATTTTTTTATTTTTACCATCACATTTGCTAAAAGGAAGTTGAGGAAGCTTTAAAGAAACCTAATGGTGCAAAATCCGTAGGACTTGATGATATCCCAATTGAAGTGTGAAAATATTTAGTAGATTTTGGAGTTTCTTGGCTTACTAAACTATTTAATATTATTTTAAAAATTAAAAATATGTTTGAGGAGTGAAGGATGAGTTTTTTGGTCCCCATCTTTAAGAATAAAGGTGATGCACAATAATGTGCAAATTATAGAGGAATTAAGTTAATGTATCATACATTAAAATTATGTGGGAGAGTAGTTGAACAGAGTTTAAGACGTGATACAAAAATTTCTCATAGTCAGTTTGGATTTATGTTTGACAAGTCTTTTATGGAAGCTACACATTTATTGGAGGTTTGATGGAGAAGTATAGAGAGAGTAAGGGGGATTTACATATGATTTTTATTGATTTAGTAAAAGCTTATGATAAGGTTTCAAGAGAAGTTCTTTGGAGAGTTCTAGAAAAGAATGGTGATGTTATGACTTATATCCAAGTCATTAAAGATATGTATACTAAAGTTTTTTTATGTGTTCTAACAGAAGGAGGATTGACCAAGTATTTTGCTATTTCAGTTGGATTACATTAGGGATCGGCTTTAGACCTATATCTTTTTGCTTTAGTTATGGATGCCCTCACTGGACATTTAAAGGAGGATTTACCCTGTTGTATGCTTTTTGCTGATTATATACTTCTTATGGATAAAACTAAAGAAAGAGTTTAGGAAAAATTTGAATTATGAAGTTTTACAATTGGAATCTAAAGGCCTTCGTTTGAGTAGATCTAAAATCGAATACATGGAATGTAATTTGAGTAGTAATAGATCTAGTGACAGAGTTGTAATTATGGGTGATCAAATCATTAAAAGGTATGTGATCAAATCATTAAAAGGTGTTAACATTTTAGATATATCGGGTCTATTGTTCAAAATGATGGCGATATAGATGGGGATGTTATTAGTAAAAGTCAAGCTGATTGATTTAAGTCGAGGAATGCATCGAGCCTATTATGTGATAGAAATGTACTGCTTAGAATTAAAGGAAAATTTTATAAGATGGTGGCGAGACCTGCAGTACTTTGTGACGCAGAATGCTGGCCTTTAAAAGAGAAGCATAAAACCAAGTGTTGATAAGATGAGAATGCTTAGGTGGATGATTGACTTGACACAGACAAAATGTGAAGTGAATGTATCCGTGAAAGAGTTGGTGTAGCTCCAGTGGCAGACAAGATTAGGCAAGATTAGAGAATCATCTTAGATGGTTTGGTCACATTAAATGTAGACTATCTGTTAATTCAATTAGGAGAGTAGATGTTTTAGATTCGACTTTTGTTAAGAAAGACTGAGCCAGACTTAAGAAAACTTGGGCATACTGTATAAAAAATTGATCTTAATTTATTAGACTTAAATGAAAAAATAACACTCAATAGGACACAATAGAGAAAAAGGATTCATGTAGCCAACCCCAACCCCACTTGGTAAGATAAAGACTTGTTGTTGTTGTTTCATGATACCTAAACATGAATTTAGAAATTCTTTCCTTAAGCTATACAATTAATATTATAAAAATCATAAAAAAATTATAAGATAGTGGCGAGACCTGCAATACTTCGTGGTGCAGAATGTTGGCCTTTAAAAGAGAAGCATAAAACTAAGTGTTGATAAGATGAGAATGCTTAGGTGGATGATTGACTTGACATAGAAAAAATGTGAAGTGAATGTATTCGTGAAAGAGTTAATGTAGCTCCAGTGACAGGCAAGATTAGAGAGAATCATCGTAGATGGTTTGGTCACATTAAACGTCGACCATCTGATAATTTAGTTAGGAGAGTAGATGTTTTAGATTCGACTTTTGTTAAGAAAGACTGTGGTAGACCTAAAAAAGACTTGGGCATACTGTATAAAAAATTGATTTTAATTTATTAGACTTTAATGAAAATATAACACTCAATAGGGCACAATAGAGAAAAGGATTCATGTAGCTTACCCCAACCCCACTTGGTAAGATAAAGACTTGTTGTTGTTGCTATTTGATGATGCCTAAACATGAATTTAGAAATTTTTTCCTCAAAGCTATACAATCAATATTATAAAAATCATAAAAATTGAGGCATTTGTGTTCTTGCAATCAATTATTATAATGGGTGTAAAGCTTAAATGACAAGATGTAAGGTATAAAATGTGAGCAATAAAATGGCATGATTAAAATGCAAGTTATTTTAATAATCATTATATTAACATAGATTATTCTTTTATTTCAATAATTATTAAAAATGGAGTCAACACTAAAAACTTCATCTTTAAAGTTCATGATTAATCATTTGAAGAATGGCAATCAATGCCTACAAATGCTAAAGCATCCGCGGGCATCCATGCCCTTTTTTGGTATCCATAAATGACTATTTAGAGTAATTGATCATGTTTGATTTCACTACTAATACTTTACAATAGAAGGAAAGTTGGCCACTTTATAATCCGATGGAGTTTCATTGGCCCTGCTAGAAGAGTCCACTGACCCCCCAAAAAAGTAGTCGCTCTGATGGAGTTAATTCACCCCATACCTAATGGGCTTCTTCAAACTCTAAAATAGTAGTCATTTTATAGATCTCTTGGTTTGGCTGGCCATTACAATCACTATAAGGGCACTTTTGACATTTATATCATCACAATATGTCCAACAAATACAAATGTTGCGTCAAAATAATCTATCTCATAGACTCATGTGAATCTTTTTGTGACCATCCAAGCTTTATATTAATTGAGTCTAGGGGATGAAATCTGTTTGTGAACACCGTTAAATTTAATTTTAAATAGGGGGAATATCATTTTGTAGTGCTTGTTTTTAAAATCCTATGGATGAAAACTGAGTAGAAACCATTTTAATATTTTGAGCTTGTTTTCAAAAAGGATTTTGTAGTGCTTCTTGATATGTTATGGAAACGTAGACTAATGATAGGGATAATGTAAATTTGCTAAAGGGAGAAGATAATAATCAATTGACATGAGAGTGAATGAGAAGTTAGTTGTTCATTACCTTTCATCTTTACACATGGAAACATGTAAATATTGAACAAAGGGCTCATTTGCAGTGAGATGCTCAATCAAAATTTAGCTCAGTTGCAGTGAGATGCTCCATCAAATTTTATAATGTGGTTGTAGGTTTTGTTTTGGATGGTGGATGATGAATTGAGAGCAAGCTTATAGATGATTAGAAGTTGGTATGGGAAACCTTCTGGAGGAAGAAGAATGCGTGGAATTTTGAGAGGTAGTGGGAGAAAAAAAATATGTACTGTTATGGAAACTTGTATCAACCAAGGTGTGTCGTAATCTGGTAAAAGGTTGACACTTTCATATTTTCTAAATGCCGGAATTCCTAAGAATATATGGAATTCACTTACCTGATTGAAGAACTTATAGCATGCTTACAAACTCTTTTGGAGGTTTACTAAAATAATTCTACGCCTATTGTATGTCTTTATTTATTTTAATTTTTACTTAAGTGCAATTTTTCAGAAATATTACTATACTGCCACCCTCATGATCAATCAGAATCATCATTAAGTTTATTATTACCATGTTAATGGAGTTTGAATTTCAATTTTTGCCTGCATCTCACCTACTAAGTCATCTTATCTACATCTTTAAATTGTTGCAAATAGCTTGTAACTCCCTGCTATTGCATGATTCCTGTTAGAACATATTAGCATGTCAATACTGCATTGTATATGGCTATAATTAGTGGAAGGCATGATTTGTATGCTTGAATTAACATTCCTCGTGTCTATGAAAAAAATATATATATAATATATTTTTTGGCATTTTTATAGCCCACTAGGGAGTTAACATAATATTTTCATATTTGATGGGGGTCATAGTTTTTTAGGTTTTTTTAAATTGGAGATGCAAGTTATAGGAGTTTTTATAATGTACATGCATGATCTCCAAGAAATTTCATTTTATTAAGATAAAATCAATTATTTTGATGAATTGTTAATCAAGTAAAATCTATGGGGTTGAGCAAGGCAATAACATTTTTCATCTATTATAGAGTTGATAGGAAATATTTTGTAGTCTGGAGAGTTGTTATGCATAGGAAATGAATAGCTACAACATAGGCATGTAGGAATGCCCATGCTACATAGGAATTAAATAACGAAATATGTTAGCATTTGTGAAGATGCCTTTCTTTTTGTTAGAGCTTTCACTTCAGGAGACAATCTTCTACTCATCTCGTTATTTCTGAAGATTCTATTAGTTTTATTTCTTGATCTAAATTCTTGAACATTTTTGCGCAAAACTATTATGGTTTGACTACTTTGTAAATTCTGTTTTGCAGCGGAATGCTTCCCAGATAGGACTGATGTGCAATGTCTGCATAGATGGCAGAAGGTTTTAAATCCTTCGCTTGTTAAGGGACCTTGGTCCAAAGAGGTATCTTAATATTGATGAAACAACCTTGATGCTCTTCTTCTAACTGCGTAGAAGTTATTAATAAAGAGACTTTGTTGGCTTAATCCTTTAACAGGAAGATGAAATTATTGTTGAAATGGTGAAGAAACATGGACCGAAGAAATGGTCAACTATTTCGCAAGCTCTGCCTGGACGCATTGGGAAGCAATGTAGAGAGAGGTATTACTTTAAGGATGTGGAGAGAACTTTTTGTACCTCTTTAAATTATTTTTCCTTTGTTTTACTGCTCCCTTAACCCTTTGTTTTAACTGGCAATTTTGCATAGTTGCTGAGAAAATGGATGTACTTTTAATAGACAAGTGAAGTAATAAAAGAAATTTGTTATGCCATTTTAAGTGATGAGCATATATTTTTTTTAGGAAGTAGACATGTAAATAGTGGAACATGGAAACAAACCTGTAAGCATCATTAAATATTTACATTATAATCAGGCTACTGTTTGATGCCAAATCTCTTAGTTTTAACCGCCAATTTTGTATATTCATTGATTAAATGGGTTTATAGTAATCTGTAAGTGAAGCAATAAAAGAAATTTACTATAATAAATTCAAGCATCCTAGAATCTCTCTATTGAAATGGCATTTTTACCCTATATTTATATGTTTTGAGAGTTACAAGAGTGCTACCCCAATAAATAATAATTACAGACATGTAGATACGAATTTAGATAAATTGATGAATAGACATGAGATACGAAGTTAGAACATTGATGAATAGACATGATTAGCTCTTTAGGAGAGTGAATATGAAAAGTTGTTGATCTTGTAGATATGACTTTTGGTTGTCAAACATGTAAGATGACTTAGAGAAGTCTCCGACTGTGAGTATGCTGAGGCAAGTGCCTCCTGCTTATTGGGGTAGGTGACTCTGGCAAGTAGACTTGTAGGTTGGGCAAATAGTTTGACAAGTGGCTCTGCAGGTTGGGCAAGCCTTAATTAGCGGACTTGCACTCTGAGAAAGTGCTCCTGACAAGTAAAATACAGGGTAGGCGAGTAGTATTGGCGAGTGGACCTACAGGCTTGGTCAGTGTCCCTAACGAGTAGACCTGTAAGCTGGTCGTAATAGGTGGGCGTTTATGTTGGGCGAGTGTCCCCAATTAATGGGCCTATAGGTTGAATGAGTAGCCCTGACGAGTGAACCTGTAGGTTGGTTGAGTGACTTTGCATGCTATCTAAGTGGCCCAGGCAAGTTGAACTATGATTTGGGCAAGTAGCTTTTATGGTTAGATATGCAGAATGGGCAAATCATTGAGCCATTATAGTGAATTCCTAGAAAATTTGTCAAAATCTTGGCATACCCATAATTTCCTTACAATTTCACATTCATATTGAGTTCTGGGGTAAGTTCATCCCTCATCATTCTAGTCTAGCCTGACTTATCCTAAATTTGTCTGACCTAACCTGTAATGATTACTTGTAGAATATTTGGGTATACAAGCATGATCCACAAATTATTCTTGTCCTTGTAGCTAGCCCGCATAATTACACCCTTGATTCATATGAAGTTGTAAGATTTATCTATCATCGTGATTATTTAATGACAGGTCTACTTTTTTCTTAGTTTTCTAACTGCATGCTAGGGAGCACCTTTTGTTAGTCTTTGAAAGTTTCTTATGAATTGCAATTGTAGGAATCCTTTGGATCCACATGAGGTAGTAGATCAAGGAAGGGGGTAGTAGAAGTTGAGGGATCCATGATGTGTTAGCATTTAGGAAGGAAGAAATAGTATGGGAGTTTAAATTTTAAGAGAAGAAAACTGATGGTTGAGAAGTAAAATACAAAAATGATGAATAAAAAAAACTTAAATTAATTTTAAGCTGCTTTACATTGGCTTTCTTCTCTTTGAATAAAAAATCTTTATGGACAGTAAGCTTTCAATACTAGCTTCTTTTATAGAAAACCGATATGTTAACTTTAATTTACTTTTTACTCCAGATATTATGTTTTAGGCGTTGATGTTGATGCATTCTTTGGACACGCTTAATTTGGATTTGAACTTTGAATGGAAAAAAAATAACGCTATGGTTTATATCAAGGAGCAATAGCTAATTCATTTTGCAAATTGCCAATAACGGATTTGTACAGGTGGCACAACCATCTTAATCCTACGATAAACAAGGATGCATGGACCCAAGAAGAGGAGATGGCCCTCATTCAAGCTCATCAAATTTATGGAAACAAGTGGGCAGAATTGACAAAGTTTTTACCTGGCAGGTGATAATCGATTTGTTATCTTATTCATAAGATTTGTTTGATGCTTTGATAGTCTTATGCCTAAGCTTCCTTATTAATTTATTTGTGGGTGGCTGTTATATATGTTTTCGTTTTCGTAGTGTTGCAAAATGTACCATTAAAGAATAATTAGGGTATTTTGATCTAGAGTAGTTATTGTAATTGTTGTTCTAATAGGAATCTAGTGAAATAGAATAAGGAAAAGAAGCTATCCTTGGGACATCTAAACTGTTGATTCCTTGAAACAGGTTGCACATGTAAGTATTCATCTCAAATTTTGATCCAATGGAAGAATTAGACCAACAAAAGGAAAAGGGTAAGAGGACAGTTGATGTGGGCATCTATGCCAGGCGGGAAGTAGGACAAACGAAACTTCTATAACGAGTGCATCAGTCCAATTGAGTCGACTAGTTCAGCTTTTCCAAGGGTTCTAGGGTCGTCCCACCTGAAGTGCACACCAATCGAGACACAAGACGAGCATAACTTCTATAATCAAGAGTATCGATCAAATTGAGTGGACCGATTCAACTTTGGCAGGGGGTCTAGGGTTGGCTGGCTATTAATTAAGGTTATTCGATTGGAGCCATTTAAATACATTTTTTTTTATTTAGACACTTTTTATTTGCTATTAATTAGGGCTATTAATTACTGTTATTTGCTTGGAATTTTTTAAATACGTTAGTTTTTCTATTTGGACACTTTATACATTAAAGACCAATTTTTCTCGTAGGTGGTGACGTGGTGTGTTTGTAACTTCATTGGATCTTGGTGGTGAACTCTTTCGAATTTTGGAATGTCTCTTAGGGTCCTTTTGGGTGGCAGTGCGGTAGCAATGTGACACCACACCACAGTTTTATTTGTTCGAGTAAATTGCGTTTTTGCTGTTTTTTAAAAAAACTGCCATTGAAATTTGTGTTTTTTCACTGGTCATGGCTAGGTGTTGTGACAGTATCTAACTATGGTTTGACTTTTTTAAAAAAAGAAATTTATAATAACCACCGCATTTTTTTAAACATCAGATTATTCTTCAGCCGTTTCACAGTTGTTTTTAATAAGTTGCAGCTTCTTAGCTGCTTCACTTGGTGTGGATCTATTATTTCTGCTTATGGCTTGCTGACCAATAGCGCTTTTCATCAATCCTCATTTGTTGGCATCATTTCCCCTCTATTTTCATCATGCAACCCTCATAATCCATATCCTGACTTTACCACACCATAATAGCCCTAGATCGATGTCATTTGGTATGAAAGTCTGACAAACCCGAAAATTTTAGAAATTTATTTTTATCACTCAACTTAAAATTCAAATAACTTAATTTATCTATAACATATGCTTGCCTAATTCACATCAAGCATAATTCACATAAAGAGATATAAATATTTAGGAATTTGTTGAACAGTCTCTATCTAGGATGAAACCCTAATTGGGAAAGAGACAGCTGCTAGAAGCTTACAATAGAAGATATGTGTAGAGAGATCCTCCAACAATAACATAGGCTTATCTCATTTGAATGGAGATAACTTAGAGATGTCACCCATAGTTATAATGGTGACTCACAAAATCGAGATGAGAAGTTAATCTCGTCACCAAGAAGTTTTCAGTGATGAAGAACCAGTATCTCGACAATTTGGCTTTGCATTAGAGGAGAGAATGAATTTAGGATAAAAATTGACTTGTTGGATTTTGTTGAATATGTGGATTCATTGAGCGACTCCAAATATTGAAATAAAATTTTGTATATAAGAACGTTCGCCAGACGTAGTGTTAAATTGATAGTCATCTAACCCAGAAAAAAATTCTTCCTTGTGGTGGGAGAATATGCTCGCCCGATTTCTACAGCTGGAAAAAAAGAATAAGATCACCAACTTGTGTAAAGGTGAAATGGAGATGCAACACAAATATCTCTTCCCTCACTATCTACAAACATTTCTAAATCTCCATAGCATGTACTATAGAGATTCAATCAACAACAACAACAACAAAGCCTTAATCCCACAACGTGGGGTTGGCTACATGAATCCTTTCTCTCCATTGCATCATATTTAGTGTCATATTTTCATTTAGTTCAGATCATTTTTAATACAATAAGCTCAGATCTTTCTAGGTCTACCTCTGTCTTTCTTAACACAAGTC